CGCTCGATACGAGCTTTTGATGTGCGTTGGACGGTTGGACGAGCTCCAGCTGGACCGGGGACCGCTGCAGGCGCCAGTGACGCCACCCCTTGGTATCCACTGTTAACGAACACCGGCGATTTTATCCTGGCGATCAGCACCGGGACATGGCTAGCTTAACACTCACCGGCTATTTTGAGAAGGAGCAAGCGGGGGGGCTCTGTTCTTTCCCCTGGCTGTTGGGCGTTTGTTTGCAGCAGAAAGAAGCAAGCAGGAACGCTGGTGTTCATTGTTTCCCCCACACATCAGTCATCACACAATCGTTTGAGCGTTTTCCCTCCGAGCCTTCCATTCCTGAGAAACAAGGCAGTCAAGGCATCCCCGGCCGTTGGCGTAGCGTCCTTTGTGGCTTCTGCCCGCAACCCACCTCGTCCCGCCGCTAAAAGCCTGACCTTATTCCCCCATTTCCTTGCCTCACCTGAACTTGAAGCTGTGGACGACCATGTATGTGGAGCCAACCAAGCCGGCGACATCTTGGCGACTATTCTGCCCGTTAAACCTCAATCACGGACCTCTACCAGCCCTTCGTCCGACCTGTCTCTCGTCATCAAGGTTTATGATTTCTACTGTAGAATCAAGACCAGCTCGTCGGCACAAACCATCACGCACAATTCAATAAGGTAGTCACTGACAGCACAATTCGTATTTTGCATCGTCCCATCAACTGACACCTGCATATTGTCCACTCATAAACACTCCCACACCACCACCGCTGACCCCGACCTGCATGCCTTGATCGATGGGCTCCCTGTCTTCCATTCTTGGCTCGCCTCCAAGCCCTCACACAACGAATTCGTCCGAAAAGAGGGTGCCGACACGCAAGCGAGAAACGAACCAGAAGAGACAAAAATAGTTGAGGAGACATTGTGGCATACGCCCACACCAGAATGACACACAAAGCTAGCCTCAACCGCCTGCCTCTACCGTCTACATTATCCACAGCCGGACATGATGACCAAACAACAATTCAATCTGCGGATTTCACAATCCTGGCCCCCCTCGTCGCGGCTCTCCACATGTCACCGTACCGGGCAACCCCTGGCTCAATCGATCAAAATTGCTGTTCATCGGCGTCCCTGGAGCTAGTCCATTTCGGCAAAGGAGTCCGAGCCTCGCCTTATACTTCAAACCAAAGCTACCCTCTTCTCACGACAAAGCGCAGACCGCACAGGCTTCGGTTACGAGCAAGCTTCAAGATCTTCTTGCTGAAGCCGAACGGCACTCTACCAGCCCATCTTTGGATCGTCAACGACTTGGCCGTCCGACCGCCCGGTAGCCTGCAGAGCTGTTGCCCAGTAATCGCTGTTTTTGGATTCACGTTTTTGAATTGAGGGACCACACGCAACTTTTCCACGCAAATGTACAAGCGATTTGCAACAAAAATCGTTTGTACATTGAATAGCAGACGCCCGCAGGCTATGTTCTATCTAGCTGAACGAGCCTACTACCCTACTTATACAGTGGCACGGCAAGTGCTCAAAGCATCCCAATACCATGGGTGCGGTTACGCCTCGTAAACGCCAACAACCAAAATCGCTACCTAATTAAGCCAACCCACAAAGAACATGCAGATCTACAAAATGCATCGCGTCAATGATCGAGCCTACCTACGCTGCATTCCGGCTCGTCGTCCGCTCGTTCCGTTGCACTTGCTCCTCCACGGTCTCAGGGTCCGGGCTCACGTGCATCCAAACCTCATTGCCCTTCTCCCAGTTGATCAGCCCCGAAGGCATGCCTGATGCATCGCCTTTCCCCATCAAGACCCGATTCTTGTGCCGAAACCATCTCTTCACCCGTAGAGTCGCTTCATTGTCAACCTTGAGGCGGACTGCAATCCATTGGTCGTCCGGTCGGTGATCGTGCGTCACCACAGCAAGTGGTTCTGCCGGTGGCTCCGTTGTCTTCAAGATTTCTTCGTCTACCCAGGTGTTGTATTTCGTCTGCTCCGGAGGTAGCGTAATTTTCAAAAACTCGAGCGACGGTGATATCGTCAGGTAGATGGCTCGCAGAGGATTCACCAACGTCTTCATGAACAGGTCTGTCCAAGTCGAGTACAGGACGGCAAAGTCTGTCTGGGAGAGATGGGTCGACCCCCGGATCGTCATCATCCAGGTTAGTGCGTTCTCACCCCTAGCCTCGTTGCAAACGTCGACAAGTCTGTCAAAGTTTTCTTGCCAGTGCATAAAGGCTTCCGATCCGATCGACAATAAGGGTTTCTTTACGCGGTGACTGGGATTCTCTCCTGCGCGTGGCGTTGCCGGGCCCCAAGCGTCGAGAATGATGCCTTGACCAACCCAGCTAAGCGACTCGGTTCGCAAAGCTTCGACCGTCGTTGCTCCGCCAAACGAGTGACCCATTATTGTCACGTTGTCGAGGAACATCCTGTCTTGCCAGTCGTCCCATACGATGCCTTTAAGCCCCTTGGAGCTGGACGCCACATTGCCCTTCTTCCTCAGGTTCATGGCTTCAACTTCGCGCCCGCGGCCACTGTCGATATATCCAAGGATGCGGAAGGCCTCCTCGATTTCCGTCATTCTCATCTCAATCTGCGCAGCGCGCAATTGCATGTCTACGCCCTGTTCGTTGTTCGGTGCCGTGTCCTGCTCGTTATTCTTGGGGAAAAGATAGTCCACGCAGTAGTGTTGCCCTGAGTCTTTTCCATTTTTCTTGTTCCTAATCTTTTTGGCGTTGACCGTTTCCAACGAAGATTCGCTGTCGGATACCTCCCGATGTTCCGGGAGGTTCACATAAGTCCTCGCACCGCTCCCATCCCTGTGCTCGACTGCCACAACAATGAAGCCATAACTTGCCAACTCTCCGCAGATGGAGCTATAGCTCATCCTCGAGCCGCCCAGGCCGTGGCTGAAGATGATGACAGGAAACTTTGGCTTCTTGCGCGAGCTCGACTCCTCGTTCCTCGCCGTCTGACCCGTCGGACCTTCGTCGCCCAGCATCTCTTCCGGCCAATGCTCTGCGAGCTTCGCGTTCCTCAGCGCGGGGAGCTTGGTGAACATGGAGGTGGCGGCAATGTAGGCCGTGACCGGGAGATGCGGGATGCTGAACTCCTTGGCGTAGCCCTTGCAGGTAAGGACCCGCGGACGCGGGAGCCATCCGACCCGTGAGAGCTTCGGCTTCTTGGCACCGTCGGCCTTTTTCCCATTCTTCTTGCTGTGCTGCTGCTGCTGCTGCTGATGACGATGATGATCGGGAGCGGCGTGATCGTCCGTCTGGCTCTTTACGGTGCACGGGTAGTAGACGGCGAAGAGGACGGTATCGAGCCTCAGTAGCGGGACGTTGTGGCGCCTGAGCTCCGAAAAGGTGCGCGGTTGGCGGACCGGTGCCTCGATTTCGAGGAATCCCACGCCGTAGGGTCCTGTGTAATAGGGGAGGGAGTGTAGAAAACGTTCCCTGAGTGTTTTGGGCGGGTTGGTGTCGGATCGCCGTTTCCTGTCCTCATTTGAGGCCTTCTTCTTGGTTTCTGAACTCATTGTCGAAGAGAGAGAGAGAGAGAGAATCCTCGATCTGTCAGAATCGGGAAAGATGCCAGCAGGCCTCAAATGTTGAGGTTTGAGTGAGCTGCAGGGGATATCCTATGCCCGTTGACGGGGAAGTCGAACGAGAGGACTTGGGTTGCTGTGGAATTTAGATGTCATGGCGGTGCGGGTAAGCGTGGAGACAGACGCAGCTGGGAGGGAAGTCCCGGGTTTAAGGTAAGTAGGTGGGAGGATCGGAATTGGGGGCTAAGATGGGCTTTACATTCCTAATGGCGCGTGCCAATGCAGGAACCTAAAGAGAGTCTGAGAGAAGGGGGGAAGGGAAAAAAAAAAGATTTAGACGAAAAAAGGGCGGCAGATTGCGCGCCGCACGCTTGACGTTTCTGGTCGCTTGGTGGTCAAAGGGGGCTGTGAGATTAAAACGTGAAACCGAAGAGTCCGGAAAGGACGCCTGACGTCATGAGGGAAAAGTGCCATTGACAATTTGAAAAACCCCGGATTCTCTGAAAATGATACGCGCGCACATCACTTGTGGGAACTTTGAGGAGCGGGTAGGGGGCGGTCGTTATTGACAAGGGTCAAACTCCCAGGATCCAGTCTAGAATCGAATACCTACAATCGCATGGCATGCGTTTCCCATCTCAATTGGGGGTCTCCATTGGAGATATCCGTATTCGCAACGTGGGTGCTTTGATTCCCGTTTGTAGGGCGACATGGGTTTCACTCAGCGAGACATGTGTTTTTGATCCGTGTGTTGGGCATGCGTTTCTCAACTATAACACAGGGAATGCGCAAGAAAGGGATTCGGTGTGAGGGAAAAAAAATTCCAAAAAAGTCAATTCCAATTGGCTATACTCTGTAGGGTTGAGACAATCGCTGGATGCCTCGGCGCTCGGGTATTGCATCCATCTATCTCTCCCTCCCACTTCCAAGTTCTCCCACTTCCAAGTTCTCCCACATGCTTCTTCCTCGCTCGACGACCCTAGGGCTACGGTGAGGCGCACCGTCCGTCCGGCCATCGTCCGGACATCTCGAGCTCAATCCTTCGTCGCTACGCGAGCCCGGATGGCATCGTCCGGCCTCTTTTGGTTTTCCTCCTCTTTTCTCCTTCCTAGCCTCTCAAGTTCCTCTTCTCTCGGCACGCGACCTCGGCGAAATTTGTCACTGGAGCCGTGGATGAGTGATTCCAAATGGATGTGTTTGGGTAAAAGCTCGCGTGCCTGACGATCGTGGCCAACCCTGATTCGCCTCTGATGGCGACGCTAGAGTGCGCGATATCGGGTAGTTTCTTTCGGCGATGCAACCGGAGAAGGTGGGCCCATAATGCGACGGCCTGCGGACTTATCGCCGGTTACCGCCGGATGGCCGGAAGTGATCCGCCGCCGCCGCCGCCGCCGTCATGGGAGTGGACCCGATGACGCCAAGACTTATTCCTCTGCAAATGCTTAGATCCGGTCCGACTACGGCTTAATTTTGGTTGTTGGGAAACCGATTGTCTAGGAGATTGTCGTATTGCCACAGCTCTGGCTGGTAATCCATTGGTAGTCTCCAGTCGGCCATATCCATAAATCCGGGGAAAAGCTGACCGTCGTTGGGCGACGCTAATCCTGCTGACATGTCCATGAATGGTGACGTTTGTTGTTGCTGCTGGTCCGCCATGGAAAGACTTGTCATGGGACCGAGGACATCGGGGGTGCTTCCGTTTATACTACCGCTACGGGCCGTCCCTGGTCCGGGCATCTGGGGAGAGAAAGCTCCCTGCATCGCACCCGCGGAGCCGGGCATCATCGGCATACTCGGGGCCGGGAGTGGGACTTGCGGAACAGGAAGCATGTGCGGAGGCAGGGTCGGGGTGTTTGCCAGGACCGTAGCTGCAACGTCGGCGATGACCTTGATGATTTGATACGAGATGACACTCTGGTGGTACGGGTCGTACTTTTCAAAGAAGGAGATGACAGTGCGAATTAGGTCGAGATCACGGCGAGCTCGGGGGTTGTTTTTGTTCTGGAGAATGTTGACAAACAAAATGTCAACGCTCCAAGCGATTTGATAGAGGAGGTAGCTAGGAAGCAAGTGTGAGCTGCATCATTCATTATCTCGATGAGATGAGGACACTTACGGCGTGTATGGGTGTTCGATCTGATGGTAGTTCAGCAGGGATATGGCCGCGCGCGATGCGCTCACGCAAAGCGCCAGACTGGGGCCTATATCACCGGCTTCTACCCCCTCTTGATCCTCCAGTGTGGGTAGCCGGAAAGCCGCAGAATGGATCGCGACAACGAGTTGAAAGTAGGTGAAGTGCAACGTCGTCAGACACACCAGCCTAGAGTAGTCGCCGTCAAGCAGGGCATCGACGTTGTCGGCGCGAATCATCGGAGGGATGCTTTGACGCCATTCTGTCAGCTCGTTATCGAGACGGCGGATCTCGGCCTCTAGCTCGGCCGCGGGAAGGCCGCTGCGAGAGTACAAGGTCGTGGAAATGCGCCCCTGGATCTGGGCAAGGCGGACCTGCTCGAGGAAGAAGTTGAGCGTCACGTCGTTGGGGTAGTAGTACATGCTGTACCCATCGGATGGGTGCTCTTCGGGGAGATCCAGGAGGAAGTCGTCGCTAATGAGGGCAGGCTTTCCGATCCGCAGCATGAGATCGTGGTCGATCACGTATGCGTGCCAGAAGAGACGGCGGCGGTGGAGGTGTTCTGTAGGGATGAGCTGTTGAGGGCGCGCAAAAGTCACGTCCGGCTCTGGCCGATGATAACCTGCCATCAAGAGGAGCTGGACTGTGAGACCCATGAGAGTGAGCGCAATATGGTTCTCAGATGTGAAGCTGAAGTAAAGAACCTGCGCAAAGGGTTAGTTTTTGTAACCTTGCGGAATACGAGCAGCGTAGGGGAACCCACTGTTGACAGTAATGCCCCAATCGCCAGAGGCGATGGTGTGCGCAAGATGATATTGGGTACCATTCCTAGCGCATTGTAGATGTATTTTTGATACTCTTCCCGATTCCGCATGACATTCCTCTTGCGTAAGGTGTGGGCAATAATAACGTTAACCGCCATGCGCCAACCTGGATCCGCCGGCGGCTGGCCCTGAAAGTAAGCCTTTAGAGCTGCTCGTACCTCGTGCTCTTGGAACAGTCGTATGCCAGTGTTCATGGTCACGAAATAATCTAGGTTGGATTGAATCAGTGACCGCACCATTGTAACACTAAGGCCCACTTGGACCCGGGTAGACGATCAAAATCGCTCGCATCACCTGGCTAAACTCACCGTTGACGCATTCCATAATGACATGGTTTGGAGGTAGAGGATGGTTCGTGTCGGCATGTTCAAGATACGGCTGTACATTGCCATATACGACCTTTGGCTGCATAGCTTTCAATGCATTGCTGAACCTCGAATCCCCGATGAGAAGCTCAATTTGACCCAAACCTTGCGGCGAGAGTAGGGAGCAAGCACCTAGCACGTGAACACTGTCAACGACCACGATCTGAGAGGACCAATGGCATGGGCAAGAAGAATCCATCATTACGTACCTGCTGCGATTATCGTACTTTCGTCAGGGGCACCGATGTAATACGGCCTTGCCCCGGTCGAGGCCGACGAAGTAGCTGACGGCGGCGATGGGTAGTTGTCAGGGTTTCCGGAAGATGGGCTCGCACTACTAGCCTTACGCCTGGACAGGGGCGACGGGTTGTTTGACGACGTCGTCGCCAGGGGTGAGGCATTTGAGGCGCTTGCCTTTGCCGCCTCACTGGCGGTCGGGACATATTGCTGTGGAGGTGTCGGTCCCTGGTCTGGCTTCTGGAGCTCCTCCACCAGCCTCTCCATCTGAGCCAGTCTCGAAACTACATCTTCATAGAGTCTGTTGAACGCAGCACCATGGTGAATGTGTCAGCCATCCACAAGCCAGTAAAGTAGATCGGAGATAAGGGTCACATCGGCCCTCCCCCTTTCCCCTCGACAGCTACCAGTGAGTTGAGGGTGAGGATGAGCACAGCGAGTGATTCGCCAGGAAGGAGATGAGGAGGTTCACTCACGGTCTCTGGCGACGTCCCGATGACCGTCGTCCTTCGGGCCAGGCACATTCCAAGCCATACCTGACACAGTTTGAACAAATTGGCGTCTTGTGGTCGCATCTAATCTGTAGTTGCAACGACGAGCCGTCCCGTCGGTTAGCCCAAGATGAACCCCACGCGCTTAGTTGCTCGGTCTCGCTCTCTGTCTTTCTTGAATGCTGGGGTTGGATTATTCGCGCCGATAGGCGTGAAGATCAACGGCATCCAGCATCCTTTCAAAGAGCGAGGGCAAACCAGCCCACCGGAACAGGAGATTGGACCCTTACCTTGCGGCGCCGGCATGGAGTGCAAGCCAACGGACGCGGTCTCGGAAGTGCGTCGGACCCGCGGTTGGCCGCTTGTCCGTCTGGCGGTGACTGATGGTCTTCGGGGCTCTGCTCCATAACTTTGATGCTTGGCGTCGAAAGGAGACGGACTGATACAAGTGCGGTAGGGTAGAGAAGAAAATAAGAATAATAGACCTCCGTGTCCCGTATGTAGGGACAACTTTCTCTCGGTCTTCCTTGGATCAAACGTGGGAACCAAGAACGATGAACCGGATTGTTGGGACCAATTGACTCGTAGGAGGATGGGAAAAAATGCCAGCAGAGCGGTTTTTTCTTCTCTCCTGCGAGGGTCTCCGAGCGAGAAGGGTGGTGCTCCGGTGCGTGTTTGGGCTTGAGCTCTCCTCTCTCAGGGGAGGGGAGCAGGGGATGGTTAGGTAGGTTTGGGGGCTGGAATGGGTTGTGTCCGCGAATGTGGTGGGTTGAGGCTGTGGTATGTGTGCGTGTGTGTGAGAAAGGTGCATGTGCAAATGTGTCATGGATGTGCGGAGTGCCGCAGAGGCCCCTTCCCAAAGAGTCTTCCTTCCAACTTGCCTAGCGTCTCTTTCCCTTTGTCGGCCCTGTGTGCCTGGCTTTTTCTGCAGCTATTCCCTACGCCCTAACGTTACGCCCTCTTCTCTTCTCCGCACCTGCGCAAGGAGCCCGCCCTCGGTACACGGGTGGTTCCTGCGCCTCTGGTCTCGATCCTCTTTTCTTTGTCTGTTGGATCCTCTCGCTCTCTTTTCTTTCCCCTCGATGCTGCCGTGTAAGTCTTGGAGCAGGCGTTGCAATGATACAGAATACGAGTATGGAAAGTGAGTATGAGTGAGTGTAATGAGTGTCTGGTACCAGGCGGCTGGCGCGGAAATAATCGTAGTCCGTCGGAGTGCGCGGATTCAAGGGGTGCCTCCGTGGTTATAATGAGTGATTGTCTGCCTCTGGCCGCGACGCATCCTGATGCTTGTCTGGTGTTTTAGGGGCGAAGCTTAATCGCCCAACTCTAATCTCTGGCCCTTCTCTTTTTTGGGTCGTCCTTCCGGGCGGGTGGGGGATGTATTGGGATGCGTCACCGAAGATCGGACCGCGATTTACAACGAAATGATGCTTTCACCGGGGCTGGGCAGCAGTAATTATAATACGAAGATATGACTTCTAAAAGTATCTCTGTCTCTCTCTACAGAAACTGCAACAGCCAATATATAACCCTATCTAGCCCTGCATCCATAGTCACGGTCCTGCGTCTGATCTTTCATCATCCCAGACTCTCCCCAAATGACAACGGGCAAACCTTCATGTTGGAAAATTCAAACGGGCTGCGACTTTATCAATCTAGCCATCTCCACCATCAATCTCCTCCACGAGTCATGTTGCATTTCCACTAACCGCCTAGCTTACAAATGGGTGTCACTTTGCGGACGAATACCGTAATCTCATCACTGCATTACGCCGCCAGCAGTGAGCACGCCAGCAGCGCTCGAGTCCCAACGGTCACCGGCTTTGGCCGTGATACTGATCGGCACCGACTAACCCGAGTGAAGCACTATCATTGTGCCCCGATGTGAGATGCGTTTCGCCCGCAGGATTACTCATCTCGCCAGCGCATTTCCAAGTCCAAATACCTTACTACATAATTACTCCGACGCGCCGTCATCCGTTTTGCGACAACGGACTGCGACGTCTGCCCAAGTAGGTGTAATGTCAGTTGATTATACAGCGGTGATCCATGCGATACCGCCCTAGGCATATTGCTCTCCGGTACATAGACTACGGCTCCAGCAAAGACAAACTAATGAAATCTTGAGGCGGAACCCCCGTCATCACCAAGATGAATCGGCGATCCAAAATCCAAATTGATGAAAGCACAGCCTTTCGATACGTAGTTCGGACATATACAGAACCATCAACTAAACCGTTATCACGGAGAGTTGAACGGCAAACATGAAAGACTTACGCACAGATTTTCTCCAACAACGCCCTGCCGAGGCTCAAGGGCATCAAATCCCAAACGACAGCATAACAGATATGACTACCCATCGTCGACGCAGAAAACTCCGACGGGAGTTTCAGGCAGCGTAATGAAGAGTCTCTACGAAATGCGATTCTGCGGGGCGGGCCAATTGGGACCAATTGCTTTACAACTTGATCTAAGAGAGTTTCGACTAGTTGTTCTATTACCTATCCCCTTATGCTTGTCTGTGACACTCTGTTCCACTTATCAGACTCTGAAAAGGCGCGGACAAGCCGCACCGGAAGAGCCTGCCGATGAGCCCATTCTAAGCCAGGCGGACGTACAGAGCGGGCAGACCTAGCCTATTACGAAGAAAATATCCCATATGCACCTCGACTAACAATCCCCTTTCTAGTATCCCGTATCTTTAGATTTAAAATTTACGACCCGAGAGTCGAAAGCCGAACAGCACGTGCCAGCCTCATTTGGCGTGATTGGCGTCCGTTCTGAGGCAAGGTAAGGCAATAACCGTAAATCAGATCTAAAGAATCTGGAGTACTCTGCGCGTGGGCTTTGTGAGGCTTTTTAGAAGCGCCAAAAACTACCAAATATAGTCCTTGTCCCCATCCTACCTTACCCCACGCACTGTAGTGTTCTTTTCAAGTCTTGGCTCTGAGCTCCTCACAGCCTCATCTAATAGCATCCCCATACTCTCTAAGTATTCCAAATGCAATCATCCAACAGATCGAAGGGTCATACAACCAGTGGTATTCTCAGTATTTCACATGACTTTGAGAGCGTCGAGGCAACTCTTCATCCGTGCCAGAAACCCAGCTTGACTTCGAATAAGTGGCCAAGCCATAGGATGTAGAAGCTGCCTCGTTCTATCTGGTCTTCTGGCCTCACCAATGAATTTGACTTCCAGCCTCATCAAGGAAATTGCGGCAGGCTCCGAAGCTGTGCAGACGATAGGACAACAATGATAGGGCGGTTTTTGGCTCTTGGCACTCGACAAGCCCCAGCTCTCAAATCGCCTGGGCAGCAGCCGAGGAACAACTTCTCCAACTCCATGGATTCCTCGGAACGCCTATCTTACTCCACGAGCGCCTCAAGCCGTTATTTCTTTTTCCCCTTCCTCCCAGGGTTAATGCTCTACCAAGCGAATCTGTGGCAAACACCGCGGGATTTGGCTAGCCCAAACCATCAAAACGTGAGAGTTTTCGGTTCCGGCGGGACCTGCTGCGCGGGTCACAGGGGCCGCTTCGCGGCGGCCTATGCATCTTTCGGCCGGAGTCATCGGGTAGAACTCAATAGCATCCAGACCCGTGGCGAAGCTGGTATTTCTTTGCCACAATCACGAACAAAAAGCCTCTGGAGTCATCGGCGCATGATAATAGGAAGGTTGACGCTCCCTGATACTTCACGATGACCGGGTCATCCGGCTTCTCGAAGACAGCGTGATCCAGACTTCTGTGTCATTGGCAGTCATCCAGCGAGGAAGCCCCGGGTCACTGCCCCGATGGTCGGGGGGCGATTCCGACGAGCAAGCTTTCGGCAGGTTCGGCGAAGACGGCGGGATGCGCCGGAATTGAAGAGAAAGACGCATTCACGGAAGATGAAGGGATCGAACATCAATGCAGATTGATAGCATTGCCACGGTGTATACCAAAGGACAGGTCGGGGTTCGAGATGGCTTGTTGGACTTGATTCTGAAAGCTGACAGCTCCTCTATGCATCCATGATCCGTCTGACCCATCATCCAGGCAGCAGCATGATGCTTCGGATTTGCCCCGCGGATCCCACAAATTAGACTCTTTTGCCATTGAT